GGACAAATCATAGGCGAAGAGTTAAACATTTTTGTTTGTAACGTAAAAAAACAACAAAAAGAAACGAGTAATTTGATCGTTTTTTCGTAAATTAAAAGTAGATGTCGAGAGAGATAAAGTGGTGCATCCTGATATCGTAAGATCTTTTTGTTGATGTTGCCCTTAAAATGGTGCTATAAAAGACTCAACATGTGCAACAGCAGCATTGAAAAGTAAGTTTGAATACAGTGATTCTTGAGCCACCGTTAAAAGATTGTCCAGGAAAAAAAATTAATCACAGTGTTTTCCATCTTGTAAGAGATCGTTAGGAAAAAAATGTGGTGCCATTCATTTTCCAAAAAATAAAAGTAGTTATACATATTAAACCTTGACTTGCTGAGGGTAATTTCTATTTTGTGTAATTCATGTGTTTAGCTGTGATTGTTGGCGTAGTTAAGAATTTACTATTGCAATAAGTTTTCTTTAAAAAAACGACCGAAATCTTCAGTGTCAAAAATATCGTTTACTAGTAAATATTTGTATATAATTTTTATAAGTTATTCATCAGAACTATTAATCTTTGTATACGGATGCCATGTATCAACATGAAAACTGAGAAGTTTCCACACATTTTCGAAAACTTCCGTTTTCCAGAAACTGGATGTTGTTGACACATGGCGTCACCTATTGAGCACTCTGAACTCAAAGCGTGGTATGTTGATGAATGAAAACTTAAGTCAGGGTTGAATAATAACTATATTGTTCTATAAAATCAACAACTTAGTCATATATTTGTGAAACTCGCGTTTATTTATTTGGAATTGTATCTTTAACAGTAATTATATCTCAGTTATAATAAAGGAGATGATTTTTCATCCTTCCCTTTTTACTTGTATAATAAACCCACCGTATTTTGTAAAATATAAATTTAAGTTTTACACATGGTGAGAGCAATAAATGTTTTGATTTAAATGAGATTTCAATACTGCGAGAGAAAGGAAGTTTGAAGAATGTTTAGACCAAACAGTTTCCTCCAGACTTGGACTTTCTTAGTTGTTGAACTTTTATTTATTTATTTTTTGTAGGATTATTTTCTAATTTGAAGACATGAAGATAGTAATAACTGTCGAACTTAAGATATAACTTAGAACCACTTTACACGTATTTTATTATGATAATATTTTTCACATGTAATCAACTTGTACATTACTGTTATAACGTTGTCTAATGCAAAGTCCTGTTCATTTAATGACAGCGAGAGCGTTTTATTCCTTGGACCACAAATTCTACAAGTTCCATGGTTTTACTTGAGTAACAGTAGGCCTAATCCCCCACCCCACTTCTAAAAAACGCTAAACGATCACTTTTTTAAACTCTCATGTGTACAGTACTTGTTTCACTAGTATTTCGTTGTAACACAACTGTAAACTTACATTACTAACACATGTTAGTAGTTAGACTGTGCTACATTGATACAAATCTTATGAAATAGGCTATTATTTCTGTTGAAATACATTTATTTTGGGGCTTGTCCCCCCGTAAATGTTCTAAAATGTCACAGAAATATTCAGTTGGATTTGAATATGATCCCTGGGCCTATCAAAACAGATTTTGAATATTGTCTCAAACTTATGAACATGATGTTTGGCTTGACATGGCACATTATCATGCTGAAATAGATATGGTTTTCTCTTATATAATTTTATCAATGCAGGCAGTGCAACATTGTCAAGAACCTCACGGCATGACAAGGCAATCATCTATTCCTTAAACATGGGCAGTAGACCAAGCTCAGACTCAGCCCTCTACATGATCCACCTACCATGACCCAGTGACATCTATAGTGTTTCCTCGGTTTGTTTTATCAAATTCAAACTAGCATGTCTAAAGTAAACATTAAGTAGGGGATTTATCTCTCTCTACATTATGGTCTTCTATTGTTCTTCACCCAATTTCGATACTCGAAGTATCGTGAAAGCCTGTTCCATGTATCACGGTAATAAAGACCACTTTTGGGTTTCAGTCGTCTTTGAAATATAACAATGAGAAGCTTTATCTTCACAGTAAATTTTCTGAGAGGCAGTTTCTGGGCCCTTATTAAAGTTGTGGGTGATAGATTTGATGTAAAATGTATGGTTTTGTTTTACAACATGGCCAAAGTTTACATAGACCGAGGAGTGATTAATTATCACGATTTGGTCTGACATTATATGCAGTGGTCTTCTATTTTTCAGGACATTACCCTTAATAGATTTCGAATGATTAGTTGGACATGAATATTTTAGACACTTGTACCATCAATATTACATTAAATTGTATGTTTATTTTTCGTGGAAGACCTGTGGCTTTTTCTTTTGTTGCATATTGACTAGATATTGTTGTATGTGGCAACTGTTGATTTGTATTTACGTTTTTGTTTTGCTTTTTGTTGTATATGGCTGTGGACTGTCCTAAGGGTTTTTTGCTAATATGATCTATGTGGACATGAGTGCACCTTGTTAAAAAAAATTGTAGCAGAATTTACCTTAAATAACTAAAAAAATACACACACTCGGGGTTAACTTTGTATCAAGCTTTCAGATGCATTTCTAGGTAAACTTATTCTCTAATAATTAGGTTTGCTTTGTAGTGAAGCATGGTAAGTTACGCAATACTTTTATATAATTATCTCTTCACATCTGAGATAGATAAAAACCAAAACAACGAGAAGCAACACTTCATTCAGAAGTGTTTAGTAGGTCTAGGCAAATGACATTTAGTTAAACACAATGAATATTGGAAGCAGGATGTGGAGGAAAAAGTCAGGACTAGTCAATGCAGCAAAGTTATGGAATGCATATAAGAGTATATAAGTATATTATAATTACGCCCCCACGGCTGAAAGGGCGAGTATGTTTGATGGAACGGAGATTCGAACTCGCGACCTTCATATTTCGAATCGAGCGCTTTAACCATCAGGACATGAATATGTAGTATTGCTGGCTGTAACTCTCAACCTTTTCAGTCTGTCTTGCCTTGATTTTGAGCCAGTGAACCAGCGTTAAAGTTTCAAGCTGTTGCCTTTTTTCACTTTAATCCAGTTTTCTCTCCAGTGTTTACTTGTCTCGTGTATTTATGGTTTTTTTTATGTTACAGTAGTCATCTCTTTATCTAGTCACACACTTTATGTTTCTTCCACAGTTACTTGCTGAATCCTTCGTTCCTTAACTCGTCTACACAAAGTTTCTGGCGATTCGTAATTAAGATTACTTACTATAGTAGCATCGATTCTACTAGTTGAAACACAACAGGTTAGCGAAAATGTAACAAATAACTTATCAACAGTTATTGTGTATAGTACATTAGTAGTGTTACATGGATTAGTCGCATTATTGTCACATTTTTAACTGATCTGCAGTAATTCTAAATTCAAGTGTCACAATAAGTTGAAAATTATCACTTTGAGGTCTCATGTGCTTCAAACAATATTTGTAAAGAATGAACCCTGGTAAAATAATCACGACATTATTATTAACGATTTTTTTAAAATATATACTTAATAGAGTCACCTCCTCCGCCCTACAGTCGCTATCCTCAGGAGCCCCTCAAATCAAATGGTGAGTTTCTTTTCACGTGTTTGACGCTAATTTGTCGATAAACTTTGCACATTTAGCTATATACTTGTTTGTATATCTATAAAGTGTAACATTTCTGCTTTTATAAAGACTATTCTCATTTGTCATATTCCGTGAAATTCTCCATGCTTATGTAATTTAGATACTAATACATCCCAGTAGTATGTAGTTTGTATATTTATACTTGCTTAAACTTACTATAAATATACTTGATTAAAACCCAAGGCAGCTATAATAATAATAAACAACTGATGGCATAAAGAATAAGATTACTTAAATTGACAGTTTCACGAGTATCGTCATTATTGACTAAATACGACCCCTTCTGTTGGTGAGGGTTTATAAATATTCATGCATTTTTCTATGCTTTAAACTTTTTTATATACAGTTTATTGTCCATACTACGGTGTGTCCATTTTGGGGAAATTTCAATGGTAATATTTTTAAGAGTAGAAATAATTAAGGAGTTGAAGAAACTTCATATAGCAGTTTTAAGTGATGTTTAGGAAAACCTAGAAAAAATATATATATAATTATCATTCGTGTGGTTCGTGCTTGTTTTGTCTGAACTTGCATGAAATAACTCTCAACACTTTGATGACGTTGAAGCTTACTTAGCTATATTAATGGCTTCTTATATTCAGTTTTATCCAGTAAACACCGGTAAAGAAAAAATAAATCGGTGTACATGTATATCCAATAATTACCGGAAAAATAGGAAATGCTTACTTAATTCACGTTAACTTCACCCCTTTCCCAATACAGTTATGCAATGCCCCTCCTTCCTGACTTGTATGTAACAGATTCATTCTAAATACATGTACTTTAAAACTACCCCAACAACTGAGGGATAGCAAAGGTTAAACTAACATGGAAACATTCTTAGACATGTAATAAGTCATGTAACACAAATTAAAGTGAATTCTGTACAAAGAATAATTTTAGGATAAAGCCGAAAAAGTAATCTCACACAATATATAAAATGTGAAAGCCTAAAAAAGCCGATTTCAGGCTATCTGCATAAAGCTCGAGGATAGCTAAAAATAAACATCGAAAAATGAAATTAACTAAAACAGAATACATAGCCTATAAGTTAGGTCATGATTAATGTTATGGAAATGAGAAGGTCTACCTACACTGTTGACTCGTTTGAATTTACGTGAAAACTCTGAAGCCACGCATAGGCATCGTAGCCATTTTAGTGGACTGGGAAAAAAAATTCAAACTGCATGTACAAACAACTGAGAAAAATGTCCAAATTATTTTGTGGACCAAAGATTTTATAGCCTAATGTGAAAAGAAAGCTGTATAATCGAATATGTGTTATACGTGGTAATCAGTGGAAATGATTTAAAATGTTATTTACAGTGAAAAGCATTTTTCTCGAATTGAACATAAAATACATACAAGTTTGATCCAGATCGATTGGTTTATCAGTTATTCGATGCAAGGCCTATATTTATTGAGCCCAGCATTGTTTATTAACGTAGAATACTAACATTAATAAACAAGTGCACACAGTATTTTTTTAAATTCCTACGCTTCCCATTTTGACCCATGACCTTCAAAAGTTTATCAGGTCTAGAACTTTGTTTCTAGTACCAGACGTATAAACTTGGTCAAAATCGGTCCATCCAATCTTAAGATATCCTCTCCATAATACAAACCAATATACTCTGCTCTGCTTCGCAGTGGGTAATTAAAAACTGCTACATCAAAAATCACGAACAAGTTCTGTAAACCCATATAGTAAGATACACATAATAATTATACAGATTTTGAAACAAATGCGCGGCCAGAAAGCATTAACAATGACTAAATATCAACTAAATTAATGAAATGTAGGCTACTGATGACGCTCACGTTGTTATTAAAGGCTCTGTTGATACGATCCTTGCACGTACAAGGTAGAAATATATTAAAAATATTGAGATGAATGTAAAATTCCACATTTAAGATTAGAGAATCGCAGACGATTGATTCTTTCAAAAAGGCCTTGAAAACGTATCTTTATGGAACAGCATTTACGTCATTAATTAGTTTTATTTTGTAACTGTAATGTGCAGACGATATCTTTATTGAATATGCGCAATACAATTGTACCGTTATTATTATTACTTTGAAATAAATTCCATCTTTCCAGACTTTTGGTACTTTCAAACATTCTTCAATAACACCAAATTTTTGGACTGCGGACGGGTGTAAACATTACATTTTTCAATAACTGTCTTCAAGTAATGTTATCCATAAGTTAAAAATACGAATTGACCTTTACTCCTAAGTTTCCGCTACTCAATCGCGTAATATTTTCAGATAGATTTTACTGCCAATCCTTGCCACTCCACTAAGATGGCGATTGCTGAATATGCGACTCTTCAATATGACAACCAATTTAATAGTTTAGTTGTTTAGATGCATATGTAACATTGAATATCTAAAAAAGTAGGCTAAGGTGAGATATTGTTTTGATAAGTTTTAATTTACAATAGTTTATTCTGGCCTGTTAGTTATTTCCTGTTTTCATAGTTGTTTTCAGTTAAAGTTACCCATAAAGAAGTGATGCTAGAAATGTAAAAATTCCCACATGTGAAATGAACTCATATTCTTACTTCAGATCTTGCGACAAGTGAACCTGTTTCCACTGAAACTGGAGGCACCAATCAGTACGGGTCTAACTTCAGCCATCCACCAGGTAATTTTGGTAGGAAATCTTGAATTGAAAAATAAATCATAAATTACTTCCAGAATGTATAATCGTAGGAGTGTTATTTCATATTTTTTACAGTGACGGGGTTTTTTGTACTCTTTATTTTGCTTTTTTTCGTCAGTACCCTCGTAAGAGTGGTATAGTGAGACGATGCTTATTAACCATTTTTCATCTACGCTTATTGAAAGCATAGATATATTTGAAGTGTTGTTTTTATAAAAAAAATACTAAAGCAATGTAGAATCGACTTTCACGATTTTCGATAGAATTTTACCTCTCGTTGGAAAAAAGATGCATATAATGCAACATTTGCATTTCAAGGAGTCAGTTTTATTTTTTCTAGCCTATTTTTTATAAGCACATGACCGTGTTTTATATTACTTTATATTCTAGTTTTATGTTTATTTGGTAATAGAAATGAGGGTAAAATGTATATGTTGTGTGCTTGTTTAATAGGATAATAACACTAGAAGTTTACATAAATGTCCAAACAGTGTAATGACCTTACCTAGTAAAGTTATGGTTTATGTTTTCTAACTTTGATTGAAAATCAAGATAATCTCACAAGTCAAATTGACTTATTCTTCGTCTGTTAATTCTAAAAATTGATGGAGTAGGAGATATCGAGTCCTTCATAACACTAAAGTTGATTTATGTGTGAAGTGTCAAAAGTAATTTTATATAAAAAAATCACAGCCATTGCTTCTTTGTTGTCAGACTTGCAAAATAAAGTTTTTAGTTCTAGTTGTGCGAAGCAAAACGATCCTAAAGTTTAAGAATTTTCAGCATTATTTTATAATATATTTGAAGCTTAACTTGTTCAGATAGACCTTGAGATCTAATTTTTGAATAAAAGGTCAAGATGATCCCGTAAGTTAAAAGTCAAAAACACAGTAATTAAATAAATCATATTTTTTTTGCCAAATTTTAAATCCATGATAAGTTTTCATTTAGTTTTGACCGCAAAAAAAAAAATGCAAACAAGGTCACAATCACATTTCTTAGCATATTTGGAGAAGCTACAAATCATGGTATTTACTTATGCAAATAAAAGATGACCTCAATAGTGAAGGCCCTATAGAGGTCTTCTTGATTTTTCTAATTTTGTTTTGCCAGACTTATCAATGGTGATTTCAGAGTCATATTAATGGTAGTTTGATGCCAAAGCTATGCTGATATTATCATCAAATAAACAATCAAGAAGTTTAGCCGTCAAATTACTGGTTGGTTTATATACTGTTCACTATTTAATATTGTTTATTATTTTCTTTGCGTGCACCTGTTGCACTGTTATTAAGTTGTTGAGCCCCATCCTTGGGGCAGCTTGAGTTTTTATTTGGTTCTCCCAGACCCCCACTGATTTGGCCAGTTTCGTGACTCATTGGCCCTTTTAACTTATGTAGGAAGAGGGGTTATAGCTTGGGATTATGTTCACTCATAATATTTGACATGGCTTCTTCCCCCCCCCCCTCCACTCCCCGATAATATTCCACTACAGGAGCACGATATAGTAGTCCTCCTACCTGTTTATACCACCACTCGTGTTCCCATTTTTGGCTCAGGTAGAGTAACCTGTTGCTGTCCTGTCTGACCCATTTTTTTATACGAATTGAAAGGCAAAGAGTTACCCTGCTGAGAAGATTTCTTATTTCTGAATGCCCTTAGGTCCACTCTTTCTATAAGTCTGATCTGCTTCTCTTATACTCCCGCGATTCAAGTTTTTAGATTTTTTTCTGGTTGTGGATTAATTTTACACTGACTGCTTGGCTACATCTTTATTGTTCTGTTGAAGTTCTAGACTCTAGAATATTATCTTACAGCCTTGTATAATGTTTCTGCATCAAGGGAGGCAATTGGTTACCCCAATATCTACGCCACTTTGTCAGCGATAAGTTTATTTACGGCCTTACAAAGTCCAGGGTTCAGATTCCCTTGGTGGACAGAGTGCATAGACCCTATTGTATAGCTTTGTGCGAAAACAAACAAACAAAACCTATTTGAAATTAATTTCAATTCTAAAAATGTAGAAATTAATCCCTTTGCGGTAAGTAAAAAGATTAAGAGATTTAAGTAGAGAAATTACCAGGACCAGAAACGATTTTGCCCATGTTCTTTCTTTCAAAAGACAGTGGGTAGTTACATGAAGATTGGATGATTGCTAGTGTTACTCCTATTTTTAAAGGTGAGGGAGGTATGAGAGTTGCCCTGTAAATTATACACCAATTAGTTTTGCTTCAGTAATGGCAATATTTCTAGAGAAAAATCTAATAGAAGAAGCTATTGCAAGTCATCTAAAGAAATATGATATAAAAGAACATTAACATGGGTTCACTAAATGGAAGTCTTGCCTTCATAATTTGTCAACCTTTTTAAGTATTTTATCTGGTATCTGGATGAAGCAAAGGGTATGGACTTTTGAAAAGTTGCCACACAAAAGGTTAGGTAAGAAAATCACATTGGTAGGGGTTGGGGAAAGACTAGTAAGTTAGGTTGTGGGATGTTTGGATGAAAGAAAGCAAAAAATTGTTACTGATTGAGTCCAGTCAAATTGGATCATTGTTACTAGTGGAGTCCTTAGGGGTTAATGCTCAAGACTTTGCTTTTTATTTACGTTAGTGTCGATAGGGACTAAATTAGTAAGTAATTAATTAGTAAAGTTTGTGGATGATGTTACACTCTTATGTATTTCTAGCGGTATTGAGGATGTTGAGATGCTACAGAATTACTTGGATCAATTGGTTAGTTGTATAAATATTTAGCCAATAATATTTAATCATAACAATTTCAAGGTAATGCATTTGGGTTATTGTAATTTAGGTCATAGGTTTAAAGTAGATGGGACATCACTAAATAGCACGGCTGAAGAAAAAAATCATGGCATAGTGGTGGTTAAGTCACTCAAACCGTTAGGCATCAATTGCTCTGTTGCTAGTAGCAAAGTTAGAGTTTTAGGGTGTATTTATAGACCTGTTGATTACAAGTAAAAAAAAATGTAACTAAATATACAAAAATCACCAGTTAGGCCTCATTTGGAATACTGTGTACAGTTTTGGTCTTTTTTATACAATAAAGGATACATTGATTTGTTGGAAATGGTTCAGAGGAGGTCTTACAAAATGATTTTAAGATGGAAGTATTAACTTATGGAAATAGGTTTGACTCTCTTAACT